ATGCAAACATGGCCATGGCCACGAGGAGGCAGTAGAGACATCCACTTTCAGCTACACCCAAGGCGTGTATCTGTGGGGGCAAGGTGGAGTCCGGCTCAATGCAGGAAGGCAGGCAGAGGCAAGCCCTGGGTTCACATCATGCCTCTGCTCTCACTCAGAGTACTGACTTGTGCATGTGGGGTCTCCTTTTGGAACCTCTGTCCCTGTTTGTAAATGAGTGGAAGACTGCCCTCAGGGAATCCGCAGCGAAGCACCTAGGGCAGGGCCTGCCCCACACAGAGCCCAGCCTTCCCTTACCCACTGCCCAGCCCACCACGTGGGCGCTAGGTGGGACCTGTACCCACAGGTACCATGGATGCTATCTGCAGGGATTCTGACCTCAAATCAGGGAGCATGAATGATTTACCCTCAATCTGGTGATCCTTCTGAGTCTGGGGAGGGTTTGATCTCTAATGGGACCACCAAGAAATGGCACTGGCACAGGTGAAAATAATGGCAAACTTTATTGGCATAAATCACAGGAATTGAAATGGGCAAAGCCAGAAGTTTACAGAGGGAAAAAAAATAATAAAAATCAAATTATCAAATAACCATTGACCCAGACAGTGGACCCCAGAAACCCCAGTCCCTCTTGGGGAGGGGCCGGGGGCGGGTCGCTGTAAACAGAGCAATAAGGCCTGTGGTGGAAGTGGAGACATCAGAGCTCTGGAGGGGCCAGGCGGACCTCCCCAGACCCCAGTCCCAAAGGAGGGACCCTCTTCGGAGATCCCAGCGCTCTCAGCCTCTGCTAGGAGGCCAATGTGGTCATCTGGATCCTCCTCCTGTTAGGCCCCTATGGAGCCCCTTTCCCTAGACCAGGAACTTCAGGCCTGGCTGCTCCTGTTTCATTCTTGGGACAGAGAGCTCTGGGGGCTTCCCGTTGCTCCAGCAGGGTCCCATCACCTGCTCAAAATCCTATCAGGGCCCCTCACAGCCACCTGGGGCCTTCTCTCCAGACCTCCTGAGTGCTGATCCCACCTGAACAAGGGAAAGAACCTGTACCCAGCCTCCCGGGAGGACAGATGTGTGATATGCCCAGTGGAATCAACCAGACCAAAGAGCCTTCCACAGTCCTTGTGGTCTCAATCTGACACCAGCTTTCCTGAGAAGGCAGAAGAGAGAGCCCCAGAGGAGCGGCGAGGAGGCTGAGCATGTTCAGTGGGTTCTCCCTCTCGCCAAGCAGTCCACAAGGGAGCAGAGGCCCCTGATGGCTTACTCAGACAGGAAGCAGCCCCCAAAGTGTACTTCCCCTTCTCTCCCAGGAGCAGAACAGATGAGGTTCAGAATGAATTCTAGGCCCAGGAAGGCAAAGACACCCTTAGACCAGGTTCAGTCAAGAGCTTGCTGGCCTGGGCAATACGGAAGGGGTTTCAAAAATACAGCAGTTTAGAAAACAGTCCTGGTGAGCTGTGAAGTGGAAGGAGGGGAGTCACGGAGCTGCTCCCCGTTCACCTGCTTGTGCTAAGAAAAAAAAACAAAATACAAATTGCTTCCCCACCCCAAGCCCTCAGTACAAAGCAAACTCTATACCAAGGCCGCCGTCACTGACAGGCCTGGTGGCGGTAGACAAGGAGGAAGAGTACAAAAGTGAACATCTTTAAAATCTCTTCAAAATCATTTTGTATAGAGAAGTAAAAGCAACTCAGGCGATATGAATTCAAACCTCAGTGTAGAAATCAGTGTCCAGGCACGGGTGAAACCCCCACCTCATGCCAGCCCCGAGACAGAGGAAGTGACTAGAAAACCTTATTGCTGGACAGGCCTTTCTCAGTAGAACCCGAGCAGGTATAAAAGGGGCGGTTGTGGTGAGGGCTCGGGGGGACAGTTGCCCAGGCCTGGGGAGGCTGGAACTGCAGAAGGAGCACAGCAACCCTTTGGTGGCCCCTTGGACTCTTCCACCCTTGGATGCATGGGTAGATTTATGCTGGCATTGTCTGGAGGGAGCCAGGTGTCCCCCAGCACTCTCAGAACAGGGACAGTTAGGTTGGGGGACAAATAAGGATAAAGAGAGACCCCATTTGGGCCTGCCTGCTCTTCCCCCCTGCCCCGGCTCCACTGCTGAAATGATGGGTAAGAGGTGGCTCCAGTGTGGGTGCTGGCCCAGCCAGGCCAGTTCACAGGGACACACGTGGGATAGGGTGGGGCCCTCCTGCCCTCCCCCCTCCACGCTCCGGGGAGGATGAAGAGTGGGCAGCCCGGGGAGAGCTGCAGGGGGAGGGAGGAGGCCCAGAGGCAGGGGTGAAGATGAGCAGGCGGGACCCCTCACGGCCTCTTCCCCCGCTGCACCAGCTGAGGACGAGGGTTCCAGTTTCAGTCGGGTTTGCCCCTTCACCCCCGGGCGAGGTCTCTGGGTCACAGTAGCAGTCGGGACACTGGCTGGGGACGGGGGGCCGAGGAAGGGCGTGGGGCGCCTAGCAGAAGAGCTTGAGGAAGCAGTTCTGACAGTAAGGCTTGTCGTTCTGCTCCTTGAAGGTGCCCTTGTTGAGCTGCTTGAGGCAGAAGGCACAGACAAAGTGCTCCGGGTGGAACTTCTTGGCCATGGCGGTGATGCAGCGGCCCGTGATGGGCTTCTGGCAGCCGGAGCACAGCGAGCCACGCCGCTCGTGGTAGTGCACCTCACAGTAGGGCTGCCCATCGTGCTCGAAGAAGCTGCCGTTGACGAATGGCGTGAAGCACTCCTGCGGGGCACAAAAAGGAGGGGGCTCAGGGTTCTGTCCCTTTTGGCTGGGGCAGCACCCAGTGTGACGGGCCTGAGACAGCATGGTTGGCACACTCCTGATGACTTGCTAGACATTTCTGACATGGCAGGTGCTGTGCTAAATGCTATTCAGTTCTCCCAGGGGAGGCGACTGGGGCAGACAAATTAAGCAACTTGCCCAAGGTCACACAGTTGCCAACCTGCATAGCCTGGATTCATAGGTAAGTCTGACTCCTGGACATTTAACCAGGCTGTCACTGTGTTCCCAGAAACACTAGTGCTGGAAAAAAGGGTCTGTGATCAAACCCTGCATCCTAGATTCTTGTTTGGAGATTCAGGTATACATTTAGGTATAAAAGGCCCTGAGGGCCGGGCGCAGTGGCTCACGCCTGTAATCCCAGCACTCTGGGAGGCCGAGGCGGACGGATCACTCAAGGTCAGGAGTTTGAAACCAGCCTGAGCAAGAGCAAGACCCCATCTCTACTAAAAATAGAAAGAAATTAATTGGCCAACTAAAAATATATAGAAAAAAAAATTAGCCAGGCAGGGTGGCACATGCCTTTAGTCCCAGCTACTTGGGAGGCTGAGGCAGGAGGCTCTCCTGAAAAGAGATGAGGGCCGAGGGCGGTCGCTGTAAACAGAGCAATAAGGCCTGTGGTGGAAGTGGAGACATCAGAGCTCTGGAGGGCCAGGCGGACTCCCCAGACCCCAGTCCCAAAGGAGGGACCTCTTCGGAGATCCAGCGGCCCAGCCTCTGCTAGGAGGCCAATGTGGTCATCTGGATCCTCCTCCTGTTTAGGCCCTATGGGGTCCCTTTCCCTAGACCAGGAACTTCAGGCCTGGCTGCTCCTGTTTCATTCTTGGGACAGAGAGCTGCTGGGGCTTCCCGTTGCTCCAGCAGGGTCCCATCACCTGCTCAAAATCCTATCAGGGCCCCTCACAGCCACCTGGGGCCTTCTCTCCAGACCTCCTGAGTGCTGATCCCACCTGAACAAGGGAAAGAACCTGTACCAGCCTCCCGGGAGGACAGATGTGTGATATGCCCAGTGGAATCAACCAGACCAAAGAGCCTTCCACAGTCCTTGTGGTCTCAATCTGACACCAGCTTTCCTGAGAGGCAGAAGAGAGAGCCCCAGAGAAGCGGCGAGGAGGCTGAGCATGTTCGTGGGTTCTCCCTCTCGCCAAGCAGTCCACAAGGGAGCAGAGGCCCCTGATGGCTTACTCAGACAGGAAGCAGCCCCCAAAGTGTACTTCCCCTTCTCTCCCAGGAGCAGAACAGATGAGGTTCAGAATGAATTCTAGGCCCAGGAAGGCAAAGACACCCTTAGACAGGTTCAGTCAAGAGCTTGCTGGCCTGGGCAATACGGAAGGGTTTCAAAAATACAGCAGTTTTAGAAAACAGTCCTGGTGAGCTGTGAAGTGGAAGGAGGGAGTCACGGAGCTGCTCCCGTTCACTGCTTGTGCTAAGAAAAAAACAAAATACAAATTGCTTCCCACCCCAAGCCTCAGTACAAAGCAACTCTATACCAAGGCCGCCGTCACTGACAGGCCTGGTGGCGGTAGACAAGGAGGAAGAGTACAAAAGTGAACATCTTTAAATCTCTTCAAAATCATTTTGTATAGAGAAGTAAAAGCAACTCAGGCGATATGAATTCAAACCTCAGTGTAGAAATCAGTGTCCAGGCACGGTGAACCCCCACCTCATGCCAGCCCCGAGACAGAGGAAGTGACTAGAAAACCTTATTGCTGGACAGGCCTTTCTCAGTAGAACCCGAGCAGGTATAAAAGGGGCGGTTGTGGTGAGGGCTCGGGGGGACAGTCGCCCAGGCCTGGGGAGGCTGGAACTGCAGAAGGAGCACAGCAACCCTTTGGTGCCCCTTGGACTCTTCCCCTTGGATGCATGGGTAGATTTATGCTGGCATTGTCTGGAGGAGCCAGGTGTCCCAGCACTCTCAGAACAGGGACAGTTAGGTTGGGGACAAATAAGGATAAAGAGAGACCCCATTTGGCCTGCCTGCTCTTCCCCCCTGCCCCGGCTCCACTGCTGAAATGAGGGTAGAGAGGTGGCTCCAGTGTGGGTGCTGGCCCAGCCAGGCCAGTTCACGGAACACACGTGGGATAGGGTGGGCCCTCCTGCCCTCCCCCTCCACGCTCCGGGGAGGATGAAGAGTGGGCAGCCGGGAGAGCTGCAGGGGAGGGAGGAGGCCCAGAGGCAGGGTGAAGACGAGCAGGCGGGACCCCTCACGGCCTCTTCCCCGCTGCACCAGCTGAGGAACGAGGGTTCCAGTTTCAGTCGGGTTTGCCCCTTCACCCCGGGCGAGGTCTCTGGGTCACAGTAGCAGTCGGGACACTGGCTGGGGACGGGGGCCGAGGAAGGGCGTGGGCGCCTAGCAGAAGAGCTTGAGGAAGCAGTTCTGACAGTAAGGCTTGTCGTTCTGCTCCTTGAAGGTGCCCTTGTTGAGCTGCTTGAGGCAGAAGGCACAGACAAAGTGCTCCGGTGGAACTTCTTGGCCATGGCGGTGATGCAGCGGCCCGTGAATGGGCTTCTGGCAGCCGGAGCACAGCGAGCCACGCCGCTCGTGGTAGTGCACCTCACAGTAGGGCTGCCCATCGTGCTCGAAGAAGCTGCCGTTGACGAATGGCGTGAAGCACTCCTGCGGGGCACAAAAAGGAGGGGCTCAGGGTTCTGTCCCTTTTGGCTGGGGCAGCACCCAGTGTGACGGGCCTGAGACAGCATGGTTGGCACACTCCTGATGACTTGCTAGACATTTCTGACTGGCAGGTGCTGTGCTAAATGCTATTCAGTTCTCCCAGGGGAGGACTGGGGTAGACAAATTAAGCAACTTGCCCAAGGTCACACAGTTGCCAACCTGCATAGCCTGGATTCATAGATAAGTCTGACTCCTGGACATTTAACCAGGCGTGCACTGTGTTCCCAGAAACACTAGTGCTGGAAAAAAGGGTCTGGTCAACCCTGCATCCTAGATTCTTGTTTGGAGATTCAGGTATACATTTAGGTATAAAAGGCCCTGAGGGCCGGGCGCAGTGGCTCACGCCTGTAATCCCAGCACTCTGGGAGGCCGAGGCGGACGGATCACTCAAGGTCAGGAGTTTGAAACCAGCCTGAGCAAGAGCAAGACCCCATCTCTACTAAAAATAGAAAGAAATTAATTGGCCAACTAAAAATATATAGAAAAAATTAGCTGGG